CTGTTGCCTTTCTATCATCTCAAACCAGTCTGCCCATTCTCCTCTGACATCAACAAGACATTTTTGTCCACACAACTGGCACTTATTGCTGGATGATAGCTAAAAAGAGTGGGAAATTTGAGTGGAGAGTGAAAAACAGTTTTACTTTTGACTGTTGGTGATTGCTGGTGCTTGTAGTTGTTTTATTTTTTTCTTTGGGTCTTGCTAAAAGCTTTTACTTTTTTAAATCACTTTTTCTGTCACTTTTTAAATCTCATTTTTTTTCTTCCTTTCCTTGTCTTCCTTCAGTCTGCTAACTAAGGGGAGGGGTTAATTGGTCACAGGTGCTACAGGTACTGTATAACTTTCTGTAGAGCTAACTCTGAGCTTGTCTTTATTTTGCTTGCTGGACCTTTGTCCAAGTGGACATTTGATAAGTGAAGTAAAAAAATCGGAGTGGAAAACAGGAGGTTATAACAGGAGTCTACTAACCTGTAAGTGACATCTGATATTTCCTATTAGTAATATTAATATTGTAACTGGGATATGAGTGCAAGCAGGGCGGAAGGTTTTGTGCAGTGCACAGTGTGCCACATGTATGCAACAATGGAGCAACAGCTCCAGGATGGATACCGCTGCAACAGATGTGAGCGGGTTGTCCTTCTGGAAGCTCATGTTAGAGATCTGGAGGAGCAAGTTGCAACATTGGGCTAAAATACCAACCTTAAAAGGGGTGTTCTGCTCCCTGAGCAGGTAGCTAATGGGATTGATGTGGAGGGTGGAGGGGTTAATCAGGATTATCAGGTAGGAAGATGGGTTACTGTAACGAGAGGGAGTGGTAGGGGCTCCCAGAAAAGGAAGGCCGGCCCTGGGTTTGTGGACCCAAACAGATTTGCCAAGTTGGGTGAAGATGTGGGGGTGGTAAGCTCAAGGGTGGCAGCCCTGGATGTCACTGCTATCCCTAACAGCCAGGAGGGCAGACAATCTGGGAGTGGTGGTGAGGGTAGTGCAGGAAGGCCTAGAAAGTTGGTGATAATAGGGGATTCTATAATCGGGGGGATATGATCTCCATGTATAATACATAGGGGGGGATATGATCTCCATGTATAATACATAAGGGGGATATGATCTCCATGTATAATACATAAGGGGGATATGATCTCCATGTATAATACATAAAGGGGGATATAATCTCTATGTATAATACATAAGGGGGGATATGATCTCCATGTATAATACATAAGGAGGGATATGATCACCATGTATAATACATAAGGGGGGATATGATCTCCATGTATAATATATAAGGGGGGATATGATCACCATGTATAATACATAAGGGGGGATATGATCTCCATGTATAATACATAAGGGGGATATGATCACCATGTATAATACATAAGGGGGGATATGATCACCATGTATAATACATAAGGGGGGATATGATCTCCATGTATAATACATAAGGGGGGATATGATCACCATGTATAATACATACGGGGGGATATGATCACCATGTATAATACATAAGGGGGAATATGATCACCATGTATAATACATAAGGGGGGATATGATCACCATGTATAATACATAAGGGGGGGGATATGATCACCATGTATAATACATAAGGGGGATATGATCTCCATGTATTATACATAAGGAGGGATATGATCACCATGTATAATACATAAGGGGGGATATGATCTCCATGTATAATACATAAGGGGGGATATGATCTCCATGTATAATACATAAGGGGGGATATGATCACCATGTATAATACATAAGAGGGGATATGATGACCATGTATAATACATAAGGGGGATATGATCTCCATGTATAATACATAAGGGGGGATATGATCTCCATGTATAATACATAAGGGGGATATGATCTCCATGTATAATACATAAGGGGGGATATGATCTCCATGTATAATACATAAGGGGGGATATGATCTCCATGTATAATATGTAAGGGGGATATGATCACCATGTATAATACGTAAGGGGGGATATGATCACCATGTATAATACGTAAGGGGGGATATGATCACCATGTATAATACGTAAGGGGGGATATGATCTCCATGTATAATACGTAAGGGGGAATATGATCTCCATGTATAATACGTAAGGGGGGATATGATCTCCATGTATAATACGTAAGGGGGGATATGATCTCCATGTATAATACGTAAGGGGGATATGATCACCATGTATAATACATAAGGGGGGGTATGATCTCCATGTATAATACATCGGGGGGATATGATCTCCATGTATAATACATCGGGGGGATATGATCTCCATGTATAATACATCGGGGGGATATGATCTCCATGTATAATACATAAGGGGGGATATGATCTCCATGTATAATACATAAGGGGGGATATGATCACCATGTATAATACATAAGGGGGATATGATCTCCATGTATAATACATGAGGGGGGATATGATCTCCATGTATAATACATCGGGGGGATATGATCTCCATGTATAATACATCGGGGGGATATGATCTCCATGTATAATACATAAGGGGGGATATGATCTCCATGTATAATACATAAGGGGGGATATGATCACCATGTATAATACATAAGGGGGATATGATCTCCATGTATAATACATGAGGGGGGATATGATCTCCATGTATAATACATAAGGGGGATATGATCACCATGTATAATATATAAGGGGGGATATGTTCTCCATGTATAATACATAAGGGGGGATATGATCTCCATGTATAATACATAAGGGGGGATATGATCTCCATGTATAATACATAAGGGGGGATATGATCTCCATGTATAATACATAAGGGGGGATATGATCTCCATGTATAATACATAAGGGGGGATATGATCACCATGTATAATACATAAGGGGGGATATGATCTCCATGTATAATATATAAGGGGGGATATGATCTCCATGTATAATACATAAGGGGGGATATGATCTCCATGTATAATATATAAGGGGGGATATGATCTCCATGTATAATACATAAGGGGGGATATTATCTCCATGTATAAATACATCAGTGGTTCATATAGTGAACTCAGTGTAGAGCTATTCACCCTGAGGTCATCACAGAGGACAAGGGGGCACTATTTACATCTGGAGGAAAAGAAATTTAATCTCCAAACACGAAAGGTTTCTTCACAGTAAGAGCTGTACAAATGTGGAATAGACTCCCTCAAGAGGTGGTTCTGGCCAGCTCAGTGGATTGCTTTAAAATAGTCCTGGTTTCTTTCTTGGATACACAGAATATAACTGGATATAACATTTATAGGTAAAGTTGATCCAGGGAATATCCGATTGCCTCACAGGGGATCAGGAAGGATTTTTTTCCCCTGCAGGAGAAAATTGAATCATGCTTTGGTGGGTTTGTTTTCCTTCCTCTGGATCAACGGTGGGTATAAGAATATACTTTTTTTTCTTATGGTTGAACTGGATGGACTTTTGTCTTTTTTCAGCCAGACTAACTATGTAAGTGCAGCTCACTGGATATTTTCTCTTTTTCGGACCATTCTCTCTAAACCCTAGAGATGGTTGTGTGTGAAAATCCCAGAAGATCAGCAGTTTTTTAAATACTCAGACTAGCACGTTTGTGACCAAGAATAATGCCATGTTCAAAGTCACTTAAATCCCCTTTCTTCTCCATTCTGATGCACAGTTTTCAGAAAGTCGTCTTCACCACGTCTAGATGCCTAAATGCACTCAGTTGCTGCCATGTGATTTGCTAATTAGTAATTTGTGTTACCAAGCAATTGAACAGGTGTACCTAACAAAGAGGCAGTTGAGTCTATATTTTGAATAAAAAATACATTCAAATTTTAGTGCACAAAAACATAATAAAATCCCAGATTTTTTTGTAAATTATAAAAGATTTAAGAGATACAAATTGTTGCATCGAGGAAACAGATACCAAACATGTCAAGCCACAAAACTGTTTATCAGACAGAAAAAGATACATTCAATTTCATTTATTACACACAAACACCATATAATTTTTTGTCAAATGGTAAAGACTAGATTGCATCAAGTAAGGCTCCATTCACACCTATGCAGTTTGCTTTTAGTCCATTTTGCAGTGTTTTTCGCAGTTCATTTTGTGTTTTTCTACACGTGTTTTTGATGCGTTTTTACTGCTTTTTGCATTTTGTTCAGCTTTTTTTTTGTTAAAGTGGATTTGTTTTTTTTTTTGCTGGCCAGAATATATATGCAAAGTGCAAAACGTGGCAAAAACACACTACCATGTATTTCATCAGATTCTCCATTGAACTCTATTGTAGCAAAAACACTGCTTTTAAAAAAGTTCCTGACCCTTTAAAAAAATGCAGCAACTCAAAAAAGCATAGATATGAACATGTTCCATAGGAAACCATGTTAAATGGTCTGTAGTGCGTTTCTGCAAAAAGCACTAAAAAACGCATTGGTGTGAACGGAGCTTTAATGGATACCCAACATGTCAAAATTGAGTGTCCTCCTGAAATGGCAAAACATATCAGGATGCAATTGCCTACAGGGAACTCTTTAAAACCCATTACAGGTTATAAGTTTAGAGTTCACAAAATATGTATCAAACTTGCGCCAAGGAAACGAGTGAAAAATTAAGTGAAAAATTAAATGCTGCTGTTCAAGGATTGACTAAACATCAAAAAATAATAATAAAAATAGGCCCACATTTTTTTTCACATTTTTGGGGACATTGGACTTTAATTTGGGACTTTTTTTTTGGACTTTCACATATAATTTGTCACAGTTTTAATTATTTGTATTATTTGCGTTGTATTATTTTTATTATCACTTTAGAGTTAGCCATGAATGATGGCCTTAGAATTTATTGTTTTTACTCAGCCATGCATGGTGATACCTAATATATGTGGTGCAATGAAGTTTCTCGACGTGAGCACACCCAGCATGTGCATTTGCATACATACTGTATGTCAGGGCTTAAAATTTCAAGTCCTGAGCTACTAGCCGGGCCTTAAGAGTTACTTGCCACCAACAAACACACACAGAGACACCTGTACACACACACAGACATGTACATACACACACACACACACACACACACACACACACACACACACACACACAGAGACACATGTACACACACAGAGACACCTGTACACACACACAGACATATACATACACACACAGACACATGTACACACACAGAGACACCTGTACACACACACAGACATGTACATACACACACACACACACACACACACACACACACAGAGACACATGTACACACACAACCAGAGACACCTGTACACACACACAGACATGTACACACACACATACAGACACATGTATACACACACAGGCACGTACAGACATGCATACACACAGATACATGTACATACACACAGACACATGTACATACATACACATACATGTACATACACACACACATGTACGTGCATACACACACAACGTATAAAAAGTTGCAGTACTTCGTTGTTCACTCACAGAGCCGGGTACTGCGCTCTAGGGGGAGGCAGAGAGCACAGCACACACTCCTTCCTTTACTTTCACTGCGCTCAGCTATTGAGCAGTCTGACGGCTCCCAGTGCCAATGACAGATCCGGCCTGAGCTCTGAGCCTGCTCAGCAAGAAGGCCCTGGGGGACACACTCGCCCCCACCATAATTTCCACTCGCCATTGGCGAGCAGGTGAGTGGAAATTTCAAGGCCTGCTGTATGTGTATGGGAGATGGAGGGTTTTTAACCACTTGACCTCTTGGATGGTTTTCCTACTTCATGACCTGGACATTTTTAATTGCTATTCAGCACTGTGCTACTGCTCGGACATGCAACGCTGTACCCAAATGAAATTTATATCATTTTTTTTCACCAATAGAGCTTTCTTTTGGTTGTATTTGATCACTACTGTGTTGTTTTTTATTTTGTATGGTATAAATGTAAAATTAAAAAAATTTATATTTTCTATTTTATAAAACATATCCAAGAAAAAAAAAAGAAAAAATGAATTTCTTCATAAATTTAGGCCAAAATGTTTTCTGCTACATGTCTTTGGTAAAAAAAAAAACCCCAATAAGTGTGTATTAATTAGTTTGTGTCCAAGTTATAGTGGCTATAAACTATGGCATATACACTGAAATGTATGCGGCTGTAGACGCTATACTTGTAATGGCGGTGATGAGTGACTTGTAGTGTGACTGTGATAGTGTTGCAGGAAATCTGGCCCAACAGACACTGGCTGGGAGGGACACTAACTGACTGACACCGACATCGATAGTGACACTGATAAATATTAATTATATCAAATTCATAATTCTGCATTTATATTATATTGATGGCAAGCTTGCAAAATATTTGGTTTTTATGATTAATCATAATGAAATATTAAAATGTGTGAATGGTCGCCTTGAGCCAGTGATAGTGTTAATTTCTTCAGTAAAAAGAAGATAGGAGTTATAAGCTGAGCTAGCTAACCAGCTGAGAGCTGAGAATTCTATAATAGGGCATAGCTGGTTAGAGGACTCTGGTGTAGAATGTCAAGGGTGTTAGAAGTTGTTGGTAATGTAACATATGTAGATTTCTGGTTATACAACATTATTGAGATGTTGCAAAGATACATTCTTAATATATATTCTCTTTTAAATATTAGCAGGCTGATGTAATTCATGTTCACTACATATGTGCCTGTCAATCAAAAGACCATATATGAAGCGTCCCCTCCTAAGCAGTATTGTTTTCCATACAAGGTCCTAAGATTACAAATTATGATGCTTACTTGCTTCATAAAAAGGCCCTAAGGGACAGTCTCAAAAACACACTCACACACATCTGTCCATACAGACGTGCATAAGAACATTCTGAGAAGCTGGAACAGGTGCTGTAAGACAAGAAATAGTCACATCCGTCTGTAGCGAACTAGCCCATCAGAGTTGGACGCGGAGTTCCCCTTTCTCTTTTCTTTTTAGTGGAAGTATTCCTCAGCCATCACTCCCTACCTGGCGGGGGGGGGGGGGGTCAACCCAAGTTAAGGCATCCTCAGTCCGGTGCCAGGCTGTCTGCGGAAGTGTAACCTTTCTCACTTAAAAGCATTGACCTGAGAAACTTGTGTAGGCTCACCCATCATAAAAACAGATAAAACAGTTCTCCCCGACTTGCAAGAAAATTGAACATTCCTCAAGTCCGGCTTTCCCCCGATGTTTCATGTCATGGATTATGACAGATGTGGGTTCTAATTCAGAGTTCACCTGACCCCTCCCAACACAGCGTAGTCAGAGCAACCCCCCTTTCAGAGGGATTTTTAAAAAGGGACAGACTGCAAGTCTAAAAGTTAAGCTTAAACACACATCTCCTGAGTTTAACATCGTAACAGTGGAGATCAAAGACCCTTCCTGCTCTGCACTTGGATCTGCTTACAAACCAAGGCATATTGGCAAGTAACTTAACTCTTTAATTTCCTTCCTATTATCTCTTTGCTGTACCTTTATATGCATATATATATAGTTACATTTTCTTTGTAAATATTTTATTGCACCTGTTTGACTCTTTTAGTAATAAATCTTTCTTTCTGAAAGTGTTAAACTGTTTCTAAGCGCTTACTTGCAATTCACGAATTCCTGCCTTTGAAGAGACGCTACTGTGTTTGTTTAATCCTCTGCCCAATCGGCCTGCAGTGACCGTATTGGACAGGCGACTTTTCAATCATTATAGTGTATATTTGATAACGGGAGTTTCCCAGTCTCCAACAAAAGTGGTGGTGGCAGTAGAGGGTTAGTTGCGTAATTAACCCGACCCAGTAACAAGCGCATTCAGGCTGCAGGCACCGATTGTAGCCCATTAGCTGGACAATCACTGTGCAGAGTGCAGCTGGGTGGGGCCTTGTTACACACGTCACACCGCGGTTTTAGATCGGCCGGTCCTTCGGTCAAGAGTTGGTGAGAAGGTCTGGGGTCTGACGCCGCGGGTGTGACGTATTGCTGTTAGTCGCAGTTGTGTGATTGTCGCATGTTGGGTGGCGGCGACCGTGCGATCGTGACACCATCTACTTCCGGCTTCTTCCCAAAGATCCTGAAGGACAAACTGAACATGGAAGAAGGACATGAGACAATGGACATAAGGGTGACATATCTTTAAACTTCCGCTATGACATTTCTGGTTTTATCTACATGGAACTGTTCATGATACACTTTACATTGTTATTTTAAGCCATTGTGTGATAAAATAAAATCACACTTTATTTTTTACCTTTCCGGCTCTTTAATTACAAGCATAATCACCTATAGACACTAAAGAAGTACTATATGTGTCTCAGAAAATCCAACAGACACTAATACAGTGATCATTGATATTACTGTACACTGTACTAATGACACTGGCTTGGAAGGGGTTAACATCAAGAGGCAATCAAGTGGTTAACTTACATAGTTACATAGTTAGTCTGGCTGAAAAAATACAAAAGTCCATCCAGTTCAACCATTAAAAAAAATAAAAGTTATAATCCTATACCCACAGTTGTTCCAGAGGAAGGCAAAAAAACCCCAGCAACGGATGAACCAATTTGCTCCTACAGGGGAAAAAATTCCTTCCTGATCCCCCAAGAGGCAATCGGAGATTCCCTGGATCAACTTTACCTATAAATGTTAGTATCCAGTTAACTGTGTGCTTAAAAAGTGTAATGTGTTGTTTTACTCACAGATCTGGCAGTATTTTTCCCTGCTTTTCAGGGAGAGGAAACAGCCAGATTGCTGTTCTGTGTTTGTAAACACAGAACTCTGTGCTGTGATTGGACACAGCTGATCAGATTGCTGACAAACTCATGCTGTATCCAATCACAGCACAGGTCAGCAGGGGACTCGGGTGTGCACGCCTGAAACCTGTAAGAAAGACTGCGACATACAGGTATGTTGCCCACCCTGGCTGCACCGCCCTTCCGCAGCAGATGTACTGTGCATGGGCACAAAGTGGTTACAATTGTTGGGTGTATTTTATTTAGGGTTTTTTTTCCCATTTTTTTTAGAGTAACTGCTATCACATCCACAAGAAGGCTGTCGGCTGAGAAAATGTAAACCAACTCCGTTGGCGCATGTTATAAATTGGTGGCAGTGAAAAGGGTTAAGACCTGATATCAACATGCTTTTGACATCCGTTTGAGATGATTTTGAGATCATTCAGAATTCAATAACAGAGGATTCCCATATGGAAAAAAATATATATTTGAAATATAATTTAAAAATATTCTTCCCAAATACATATATTTGAAATACTACAATTTTGGCCATATTCAATATATTTCAAAATATACTTCAATAAATATATATATATATATATATACATATACAGTGGGGATCGAAAGTTTGGGCACCCAGCTAAAAATTTGTATTAATGTGCATAAAGAAGCCAAGGAAAGATGGAAAAACGATGATTTTTGTGGTGAGGACGTAGAAGAGGTTTTCTTCTGATGACTCTTCCATGAAGACCATATTTGTAGAAGTATCTCTTTATAGTGGAATAGTGTACCACAACCCCAGTGTCTGCCAGATCTTTCTGGAGGGATCGTGCAGTCAAACGTGGGTTTCGAATTGTTTTTCTCACAATCCTGGCAGGTCTCAGCTTTGCAAAGGGGGCAGTGCATGCTATAAATTCTGGAGGGTGCCCAAACTTTTGCAGACAACATTTTTTTGTTTTCTGTTATTTTGAAAGTGTAAATGATGGGAAATAAAATCTAACTTTTGTTGACATATTATAAGAATGTCTAATCTGTAATTTGATGCCTTTTGGAGATTTTTCCATTTTTCCTTGGCTTCTTTATGCACATGAATACAAATTTTAGCTGGGGTGCCCAAACTTTCGATCCCCACTGTATGTATATATATATAAAATACGTTTTTATTACAAAATATTTTTAAAAATACATTTCAAATATACTGTATGTCTTTAAAAATACAAATCTACATTTTTGGAATGCATTTACAAATATATGTTAAAATTACTTTTTTGTATGTTAAAAAAATCTAAAGAATATATTTAAAACAATATATTTTTTTTAAATATTGTTTTTTAAAATATATTCTCTGGAGGGCAAGTGGTTAAAGCCAGGTGACTCGGACAATAAACACTCACCTCAGATGTTGTGGTACACCTCGGTGATTAGATTCTGCCATTATAACAGGCTGGTTTCATCTAGTGATGGCTGAATCTGCTTGGGTTCGATTGGAGGGCTTACCCAGCAAATAAGGTCCACAAATCTGCAAATGAACATTATTACAAACCTGCAGTAAAGTCAATGGAAGGTGAATTTTGTCCCCCTGGGACATCTAGCAGTAAATGACCTTTCTTCAAAACTCCATGGACATCTTGCAGTAAATGGCATTTCCCCAGCCAGCAGCTGAATGTAAACAAATGGGTGGGGGGTTAGCTGTGTGAAGTCTTTTATTAAATATGATGATAACTGTAGTAATACTAGGTGAATGAATTCCGGCTGCAGCCAGAGGTTTGCTTCAGCAGGTAGGTGAACACCCTATTTAGTTCACCTTCCCCACATGGAAGAAAAATATATTTTAAATATATTTTAAAAAACATTCTTCTCAAATATATTGACTTATGTATGAAAAATATTTTTAAAAATATATATTTTTTAAATATATTCTTCAGATTTTTTTAACATATAAAAAAGTAATTTTAATATATATATTTTTACATATATTTTTAAATGCATTCCAAAAAATGCCAACACTATTAGTTCATGTGAAGCTACACAGCCATGAACTCCATCCATACTCCGCTCATGTTCTTGGACAATATTGGGCAATCAACATCTGCCTTGACACATTCCATGGCAATTTTATTAAGGTTACTGAATTACCAATGGGGCTTTAAATACAGTGGTATATTACTGACACTTATAGTGGTTCTAAAGGCTCCAGGGTTCTTGCCTTCATGCATTCTATGCATTTAGGTATAAAAACTTTGTTGTTTATCAGCCCCCCAACCCCCCTAACAGGTATTTGAGCCCCATCCCGATCCAGTGATGTCCACGAGAGCCTCGGTTCTCCACTCCTAATTGGCTGAGACAGCAGCAGCCATTGGATCCCGCTGCTGTCAGTCACAGCTAGTGAGCCAATCAGAAGAAGGAGGAGGCAGGGCTGAGCCATGGCTCTGTGTGTGAATGGACACACAGAGCCACGGCTCAGGAGTGTGCCTGCTCGGGTGCCCCCATATCAAGTTGCTTGCTGTGGAGGCAACCAACAGGAGGAAGGGCCAGAAGCATGACATTTTTTTTATTTAAAAAACAAAAATAGTTTAGTATCACTTTAAGCTGCATTCACATTTTTCGCTGTGGTATGTTGCAGTAATGTGTACATTACCGCAATGTACATTAACACATGTTAGGGGCAGGGTTCTCCAAACTATGGCCCTCCAGCCCACATGGAAGAAAAATATATTTTAAATATAGTTTTAAAACATTCTTCCCAAATATATTGACATATATTTGAAATACTACAATTTTGGCCGTATTCAATATATTTCAAAATATATTTCAATAAATATATATATACATACACAGTATACTGTATGTTGAAATGCATTTTTATTACAAAATATATGAAAAATGTTTTAAAAATAAATCTTCAAATACCGTATGTCTTTAAAAACACATTCAATGTACACTTTTGGAATGCATTTACAAATATACGTAAACATATATGTTAAAATGACTTTTTTATATGTTAAAAAAAATCTGAAGAATATATTTAAAAAAAATATAATTTTAAAAATATTTTTCATATATTTTGTAAAATATAAAAACTGCATTTCAACATGCAGTGTATATATATATACAGTTGTATTCAAAATAATAGCAGTCAGACATCACTAACCTGATCAATCACTGTTTTTGGTGGAAATGATATTTCTACATGGCAAATAATTTACTAGCAGATGTAGTAGAGTAATAGAAATCCAACAGACCCAACAGTCATGACATGCATGCTGCTGATTCTGTGTAATTGAATCACTAATTGAAAGGGGCATGTTCAAAATAATAGCAGTGTGGAGTTCTATTAGTGACGTCATTCATTCTTTGAAAAACAGGTGGCAATTATTGCCCTTATTTAAGGAAGGAAGGCAGCAAATGTTGTACATGCTGGTTACAGTGCATTTCTCTCTGAAATTCTGAGGAAAATGGGTCGTTCCAGACATTGTTCAGAAGAACAGCGTACCTTGATTAAAAAGTTGATTGGAGAGGGGAAAACATATAAAGAAGTGCAGAAAATGATCGGCTGCTCAGCTAAAATGATCGCAAATGCTTTAAAATGGCAACCAAAACCTGAAAGACGTGGAAGAAAGCGAAAAACTACCATTTGAATGGATAGAAGAATAGCCAAAATGGCAAGGACTCAGCCAACAATCAGCTCCAGGAAGATCAAAGAAGGTCTAAAGTTACCTGTGAATACTGTTAGGCAGAGGTGTGATGGGACTTGTACAGCTGGAGGGCCATAATTTGGAGACCCCTGTTTGAGGGCATCTGCCCCCCCCCGTAGTTTAGCTGCAGCATGGGTATAGCACACTTTGCTGTTTTCGAGCAGGTTACCTATGGCTTCCCATTGGCTTCCCTATTATGTCCTACGTTTTTGGTGCATTTTCTGAAAATTCACCGGAACAATTGTGTCCTGTCCGTGATACTTTTTTTTTATTTGTGTGTTACTTTTTTATTTGCACTAACATACAATTTTTAAGGACAAGCTTTTGAGGTATGTCCCCTTCTTCAAGGTCCAAGCATGTTTCTGCGTTTCTCCTATCTAACTGTATTTATTAAATCAAATTATATAAAGATTTGAATGGCCGATCATTTCCTTCAATTAACCTCTGACAAGACTGGAGTCATGCTTACTGGCACCCCCCATCAATTGTGTAAGGCCAGTCCAGGAAGCCTGTCTATCGATTGCACTGTCCTTGAGCTTCAGTCTAAATTGAAAAATCTCGGGATGATATTCGATGCTAGCTTAACCTTTGATCCACAAGTACAAATTGTTTTCAGAACAACTTTTTTCCCCTTGAGGAACATTCCTCAGCTGCGTCCTACACTATCGTACAATGGAGCTGAAAAGCTGATCCATACATTTGTGTTCTCCTGACCTGACTACTGCAATGCTCTACTCTCTGGTGGACCTCAATCCACTATTAATCGACTACAATATGTACAAAATTCTGCAGCCAGAATCCTCACTAGATTTGGAACAAGTTACCACATTACCCCCATCCCGTAGTCCTCACACTGGCTACCCGTCAGGCTTTGTATAGACCTGCTTTTCTCAACCAGGGTGCCTTGAGGTTTCTTCGGGGTGCCTTGGCCTTGTCCAAAAATTGCCCAAAACTTGTATACAAGGCAGCGGGTGGAACAAGCATGCCTTTTAGTTACACAAAGCCACAGGCTTTCATTGTGTATCATTACGACCTTCTAGCCGCCGGCATCCTGACAACCAATGACATCATCAGTTGATAAGGAGGATGTCAGCTGCCTGCACAGCATCCTAGTTTGACCCTCCCCCGCCCCTCTTCCATCAGTGCTGGAGTCACATTAGCTCGGGGATGGAGAAAAACTGAGGGAGAAGAGAAACACTGGAATACTAGTCCGTACCAGTGTGCAAAAGTGTATTTGCTTTGGAAGAATAAATCACCTCTAATGTTGGGTGTCTTACATGTGTGGATGTTGCTGCGTTATAGAAAACTAGTTTTTCAAATTATAGACAGTCTAGAGGCACCCTGTTTTAGAATGGGGTGCCTCAAGACTGTCCCTAATTGTAAAGGGTGCCTTGTGACTGTCCCTAATTTTAAAGGATGCCTTGGGACTGTCCCTAATTTTAAAGGGTGCCTTGGGACTGTCCCTAATTTTAAAGGATACCTTGGGACTGTCCCTAATTTTAAAGGGTGCCTTGGGACTGTCCCAAATTTTAAAGGATGCCTTGGGACTGTCCCAAATTTTAAAGGATGCCTTGGGACTGTCCCAAATTTTAAAGGATGCCTTGGGACTGTCCCTAATTGTAAAGGATGCCTCGGGACTGTCCCAAATTTTAAAGGGTGCCTCGGGACTGTCTCTGATTTTAAACGGTGCCTCAGGACTGTGCCTAGTTTTAAAGGGTGCCTTGGGACTGTCTCTAATTTTAAAGGATGCCTTGGGACTGTCCATAATTTTAAAGCGTGCCTTGGGACTGTCCCTAATTTTAAAGGATGCCTTGGGAATGTCCCTAATTTTTAAAGGATTCCTTGGGACTGTCCCTAATTTTAAAGGATGCCTTGGGACTGTCCCTAATTTTAAAGGATTCCTTGGGAATGTCCCTAATTTTTAAAGGATGCCTTGGGACTGTCCCTAATTTTAAAGAGTGCCTGAAGACTGTCCGTAATTTTAAAGGGTGTCTTGACTGGAAAAAGGTTGAGAAACATTGGCATAGACTTTAGGATCCTCTTGCTCACCTATAAGGCTCTTCATGGTTTAACGCCCCATTATCTGATATTTTATCAACTTACCCCCCCCCCCCCCGCTCGTAACCTCCGCCCCTCAAATTCTGTTCTTCTGTGAGTTCCCCCTACTCACCTACACTGAATAGGAGACAGAGCCTTCTGCTGCTATGCCCCAAAACTCTGGAATTCACTTCCAAGGACCGTCAGAGAGTCATCTTCCCTCCACTCATTCAAGTCAAATCTAAAAATGTTTTTGTTTAGACAAAGCTTTCACTTAATGACCCCTTTTTGTTCTTTGTTTTATCCTGTATACTTCTTTTTTGTTTTCTCTGTAAAGCGCTTTGAGAAACTACCTTTAGCCGGGTTCACAATGATGCGGTGTGAAATTTCCAGCGTTTTCCGTGCGAATTCCGCACCGTATCAGAACTGCACCCGTTCATGGGGGTGTGTATGTTTAGTTAATGTAATAGCAACTTCGGGAATTGTGATATCCAATCAATCCCAGTGCAGAACTAGCTCTGAGGGTCTCCTGACACATTTTTTGAGAGTTTCCAGATCACAGGATTTACCTCACATTGAGGGATTGTCCCACCATCCCATATGGAAGAAAACAATATTTGAAATATATTTTTAAAATATTCTTCCCAAATATATTGACATATATTTGAAATATTAAAATTTTGGCCATATTCAATATATTTCAAAATATATTTCAATATATATATATATATATATTTGTGTGTGTGTGTGCGTGTGTGTGTGTATATATATATATATACTGCATGTTGAAATGCTTTTTTAATATATTACAAAATACATGAAAAATATTTTGTAAAAATATATTCTTCAGATTTCTTTAAATTTTTTTCTAAATACTACAATTTTGGCCATATTCAATATATTTAAATATATATATATATATATATATATATATATATATATATATATATATAATTTTTTTTTTTTTAAATATATTCTTCAGATTTTTTTTAATATATAAAAAAGTAATTTTAACATATATTTTTACATATGTTTGTAAATGCATTCCAAAAATGTAGATTTATATTTTTATAGACACACAGTATATTTGAAAATGTATTTTTAAAAATATTTTTCATATATTTTGTAATAAAAATGCATTTCAACATACAGTACAGTATATATATATATATATATATATATATTATGCCAAAATGTAAAAAAAATTTAAAAATATTCTTCCCAAATATATTGACATATATTTGAAATACTACAATTTTGGCCGTATTCAATATATTTAAAAATATATTTCAATAAATATATATATTAGCATTTTTATTACAAAATATATGAACAATATTTTAAAAATACATTTTTAAATATACTGTGTGTCTTTAAAAACACATTGAATCTACATTTTTGGAATGCATTTACAAATAAATGTAAAAATATATGTTAAAATTACTTTTTTTTATGTTAACAAAAATCTGAAGAATATATTTTAAAAAAATATATTTTTAAAAATATTTTTCATATATTTTGTAATATATAAAAAATGCATTTCAACATACAGTATGTGTGTGTGTGTATATATATATATATATATATATATATATATATATATATATATGTAAATATATTTTGAAATATATTGAATACGGACAAAATTGGAGAATTTCAAATATATGTCAATATATTTGGGAAGAATATTTATAAAATATATGTCAAATATATTTTTCTTCCATGTGGGAAAGGAGGTATGGCAAACAGAAAGAGGCTGGAAAGAAGTTACAGGCAATCAATAGCACTAAGATGTAACAAAGGGTAAAAAATGGTGAAAAAAGTATTTTGTTTTAAAAAATGTCAATTGTTTATAATACACGTGGTTTTAGCTGTCTTCCAGTTAGTGTTTGCATGTACTTTAATAGAAACCTGCGGTCTGATCCTGAATAAGTATGCAGTCTGAGCTCAGAATCCCCATTAGTCCTCATGCACATGGCTGTTTTTTCAGCGGATGTTTTTGGCTTTTGGTGTTTTTTTTTTTCCTACAGCCAGTAAACCCCCTAGCAAGTTATCCTATGTGTCCATACACACATAGACTGGAATCAACGTTTTTTGGCTGCAAAAACCCCCCAGAACTGGTGGGTTTCTAGAGGAGTTTTTTAGCCGTAAATACGCTCTAATACTGGTAGACATGGAAAAATGTGGTAAAATGCGTCAAACTGCCTGCCGTTTTTGGGCGTTTGAGCAAAAATTATTTTTTTTTAAGTCTAAAAAATGCTAATGCGGAAAAATGCGGCTAAACGCTGATACAAAAATGCTGAAAAACTTGCGTTTTTGACGTGACACCATAGCGCTAATGCTACCCACGTTATTAAAACACCCAGTGCGCATGAAGCCTTAAAAAAACGCTAAAAACACAAACGTGGAAAAATGCAGCTAAACAAAGCTAAGCGCTAATGTGAAAAACCCTGAAAAATGCACGTTTTTTAATGCAAGTTTACACGGCTAACGCTACCAGCAGGGGTGGACTGACAACTCATGGGGCCCCCGGGCAATAAGGGATCATGGGGCCCCTGTGTCCTTGCCCACACTCAAACCACAACCAAAAAAGCCTATGAAAGGTACCAGGGGCATCTCATGGGGCCCCCTACTGTCCCCGGGCAGTGCCCGAGTGCTCGAATGGTCAGTCCGCCCCTGGCTACCAGCATTATTAAAATGCCCAGTGTGCATGGAGCCTTATACTAACATCTTCGGGGCCAGTGACACCATTACATCAGCTCGAAACTCAAGCAAACATTTTCGAGCGAAAATTTTATTTATTTATTTTTTGGCTAAAAAACGCAAATGCAGAAAAACTGTGAATAATAGCTAATGCAGAAACACTGAAAAACTTGCGTTTTTAATGTGACACCACACAGCTAATGCTACCAGCATTATTAAAACACCCAGTGTGCATGGAGCCCAAAAAACGCTAAAAAAAACCACAATCATGGAAAAATGCAGCTAAACGCTAATTCAAAAATGCTGAAAACTCACTTTTTTTAATGCAAGTTTTCACAGCTAACGCTACCAGCGTTATTAAAATGCCCAATGTGCATGGAGCCTTATGCTAACATCTTTTGGACCAGTGACACCATTACATCAGCAATGTTTGACCAAAAAATGTATTTATATATTTTTTGGTCTAAAAAACGCAAACACAGAAAAATGCGGCTAAACGCTAATGCAAAAATGCTGAAAGACTTGCGTTTTTAACGTGACACCGCACAGCTAATGCTACCAGCTTTATTAAAACACCCAGTGTGCACGGAGCCTGAAAAATGCTAAAAAACGCAAACGCGGAAAAACGCGGCTAAATGATAATGCAAAAACGCTGAAAAACTCATGTTTTTTAATGCAACTTTACAGAACTAACGCTACCAGCATTATTAAAACGCCCAATGTGCATGGAGCCTTATGCTAACATCAATGACACCATTACATCAGGTCGAAACTCAAGAAAAAATTATTGAGCAAACATTTTATTTATTTATTTATTGTCTAAAAACCGCAAACACTGAAAAACTCATGTTTTTTTTAATGCGACTTTACACAGCTAACGCTACTAGCGTTATTAACCTCCCTAGCGGTCTGATTATGTCAGGTTTTCTGTGCTCAAAGTGGTAAATTTTTTCCATGGAAATATGTATTTTTTTTTATTGTAGGCCTGTAAGTCTTAGGAATAACTCACTGAAATCTGTCCGAACAAGAGTCTAGTAAACATCCCGGTATGATAAAATTTGAAACACGAAAACATAAATTATAATTTAATAAATAATCATAAAAAAAATAATAATAATATAATACATTTAATTCAATAATGTAATCAAACCAAAAACACTGAAATTTGAAATATAGCGCCAAGTTCGCACATCGCTGAGCAAAGTCGCAGAATCGTTTTCAGTGATGACAAATTTCCCCCACGAATCATTATCACTCAATTCTGCAAGTGGTTCTGATTTACTATCGCTGTTCTCTAGCCGGTCTAAAACCGATTTTGACCTAAAGGGATGCTTTTTGGACGCTTTTTGGACGCCATGGACGTTTCTCAGTTTCCAGGCAGAGAGAACAGTAAAAATGCAGGCAGGGCGCCGGACAAAGCACTCGGGACAAAATGTATGTGAAATGGTTTGATACAGGAATGTTATACTATGTGATTTTAGTGTATTTAGTGAATGTCACTGTTTGTATTTTCAAATTCCCCGCCGTTCTGTCCCCCGTACATCCCGACGCTCGCAGGGAACGGAACCTGGAAGACAGATGCTGGCATCGGCCGGAGGACATTGCCAGGGACACTGCAGGAGGGACATCGTGGGAGTGAAGGACAAGGTAAGTGAAGAAGAGATCCCGGAGCAACGTTGCAGTGTATTCCCGAGTGTAGCTCAGGGTTAGCGCTTCTGGTGCTGAAACTTTACCTGAGCTACACTCAGGAATACCGCCAGGGAGGTTAAAATGTCCAGTGTGCATGGAGCCTTATACTAACATCTTCCGGGCCAGTGACACCATTAATCAGCTTGAAACTCAAGCAACTAGCATTATCAGAAGCAAGAGTTGGCAATGGCAGCCTGAACCATTCTATCAGTATGGCTTTTCTTTAAAAGGGCTAAAAATACAAATTAAAAAAACTTTTTTTTTCCTAGGTAAATATTAAGGCGAATTCACACTGCCACACAGCGCAGCTGGAACAATAGGGCAGCACAGTGGCTAAATGGTTAGCACTTCCGCCTGGCAGTACTAGGATCGCTGGTTCAAATCCCAACTATAGCACCACCTTCCTGGAGTTTTAATGTTCTCCCTGTGCCTGCGTGGGTTTCCTCCAGGTACTTCGGTTTCCTCCCACACTCCAAAGACATGCTGGGAAGTTAATTGACTCCTGTCTAAATTGGCCCTAATATGTGTATGTATGAATGTGAGTTAGGGACCTTAGATTGTACGCTCCTTGAGGGTTAGGGACTGATGTGAATGTACAATATATATGTAAAGTGCTGTGTAAATTG